GCTCGGGTCTAGTTAATGATACGACTGTACACCCTCGCATTTATTTTAAATTGCTCGTTCTATTTCCAAATGATTCAATGCAATCAATATGTTTTTAAATTTAAGGAAAGCGTGTAGGTAGATTTAATGCGACTTACAGCTAAAATTGTGAAATAGTTCAAAACGATTGCAACATAAACATGACGTTTCAAAATTATTTATCCATTATTAACGAGCTTCTCACTAGTTTATAATTTTGCGGTGTCTGTCGGTCTGTCCATCCGTCCGTCCGTTAGCACGATATCTCGTAAACGATGAAATTTTGCAAGTGGATTATTTATCAAATTTGTAGATCGGAGTTCGTGAATTGGCGAAGTAGGCCAAAAGATAAAGAAGGCCCTTTTGACATCTTCGTTATTTATGAACCGAATTGCATGAAATTCAATACGCGCATAGATTTAGCCATATAAAACGCAATTCCAACATTTGAGCCTAATCGATCAGCATTCGCATTATGAAAAATTACCCGTAGTATATAAGCCCAAGAACTCAAATATACATCTCACTCAAAATTCATCGTCTTTTGACATATGCAATGGCAATGGCACATATAGTAAGACTAGAACATTCTGCATGAAGTCTATATACTGTGTAGGTAGTACATATACAGGGTGGCCATTTGAAAACGAAACAGAGCCTATTTTGGGGACCTCAAAACATTTACGAAAAAATCCTCGGACCCGTCAATTTTTGATCCAAGGGGGAACCATTTTTTTGCTAGTTTCGCCCCTCTGGGGTCAAAGCCATAGCGGGGGTGACAAGTGCCCCCAAAATTTTAAATCGAATGGGGGGTCGAGTGATACCTTATTTTGAAGGTATTTTTTTGTAGATTATAACTAAGATTTAAATCAGTTTTATTTTAAGTGCTTAAAGCTAAAATCAATCAAGTAAATGTTGGAAATGTTGGTCTTCGACTTCCATACAATAATACAGGTTTTGTTTAAACCTTTCCCGTACATTTTGCAAAACTTCTGGGGTGATTTGACGACATTCATCAATTATTCTTTGTCGCAAGTTCTCTAGCGACGTTGGCTGACTAGCATAAATTTCAGTTTTTAAATGTCCCCATAAAAAAAATCTAACAGACTTAAGTCCGGGGAACGAGGAGGCCATTCAATAGCTCCTCTTCTTCCAATCCATTGTCCTGGAAACGTTTGGTCCAAATATTGACGAACCCTTGCAGTATAGTGGGGTGGCGCACCATCTTGTTGAAATACTATACGATTTTCCAAGTACTCGTTGTTATTTTCTAGTATCTCCACTAATGCTGGATGAATCGTATTTTCTTATAACTTCAAGTACATCTCTCCTGTTAGATTGCCAGGTAAAAAGAAGGGGCCTACGATATGGTTACCAAAAATGCCAGCCCAAACATTCAATGTTTCGGGACGTTGTGTATGCACCTCACGAAATATTTAGGGATTTGAATCAGCCCAATAGCGACAGGTGTGTATTTGTCACTACTATTATTTGACAACAACAATTGACAAGCACTATTAAACTTCAAAATGTTGCTATAGTAACGCTCTCAACAATAACCAAGATTTCCGTTGCAGAATTGGCATAGCCACCTACAGGTATTAAAAAGAAAAAAAAACAACAACAAAAAGTACGGTTCAGAATGTAGGAGAACAACATTTTTTGTATTTACTGTTGTATTAATTTTTGTTATTTAACTAATTCATTTACAAGCATTTTTTTCATAAGAAAATGTTGACACGTTTTGAACTTTTATAAGCCCCTGTATCGGTTAGGCAAATTAGTAGCGATTTAAAACTGAAGAGTTATAATCCACATAAAAATACCTTCAAAATAAGGTATCACTCGACCCTCCATTCGATTTAAAATTTTGGGAGCACTTGTCACCCCCGCTAGAGATTTGCCCTTAGGGAGACGAAACCAGCAAAAAAATGGTTCCCCCTTGAATCAAAAATTGACGGGTCCGAGGATTTTTTCGTAAATGTTTTGAGGTTCCCAAAATAGGCTCTGTTTCGTTTTCAAATGGCCACCCTGTATAGTTTAACCGCTTTAATTGCGAGTGAACCTTGACTGTCATAACGTAATACTATAACATACTTCTGTCTAAAGTTTGAACTGAATAGAAGGTATAGAAATAGGTGTGTGGGTAAATGAAGAACAAAAAAATGAGCCCGCACTTGGGGAATGGAGGAAATGAAAGCAACGAAAAAGAAGTAAGAAGTAAAAAAATAATCGCAGCAACTTCCTTCATAAAAATGAATTCAATTAAAAACACATTTGTGTAAGTATAGTGAGAACAAACAGATGAACGATGTTAAAGTAATGATTTACGAAATTATATTTAAAATAAAGAAAATTAAAGAGATTGAACAAATATGCAGCCACAGCAGAGAATTAAATTTTAAGGGAGAAAAGGATCAGTCTATAACAATCGGTATAAACGGTACAAACGAATTGAAAAAAACGTAGCTAAAAAGGAAACTTCTAAACGTATGTTGACTGATATCAATTATGACAACTACTCTAATGTTATATTTATTTTTAAAATAGTTAGGTGCTGATTTGTTCTGGGGTTCGTATTGTATTCTGTATTGTTAGGTAACTAATTATCTCGTCTTATATGTATTGTTACTGAGGACATAATATGCATAATCTTACCCGGTACAATTAGCAGGAGAAAACCCCTTCAACTTGCAAGTGCAAATTATTTCCTTCCCTTGAATCGCTTGAGTTACAGTTAATTAAACTAACTGAAATGCTTCTCCATCCTAAATTAAGCATAAACATTTGGGACATAGTGGAGAAGGTTATATTACATTTGACTCATTTCACACAATACCGTTTGTTAACAAAGATGTTGAATGAATGCCCTTATTGAAATTCCGTCGAGTTAAAGTGACAAACAAAGCGACCGAATGTGTGTAATATTTCAATGGGAGCAGAAAACAAATTTCAAATGAAAAGAGAATAATAAAGCTTTCAAAATGATTTCATTGTTATTATTAGTTACACATTGAAGGGTTTTGTCACGTTTCGTCTTTGAATGGAATGGAAATTACTGCGGCAAAAAGGTATCGCCGTTTCCATCTTAAAGGCAATAATAATAATTAATGTTCTTGGCTGTCGGGTCGATAGCATGTGTTTTAATAAAATTTTAATATCAAATCACGCAAGTGAAGTTGAAAAAGTAATACACTTTTTCAGTATAGTTACACCTACACGGTTGCGTAAAGACTGTTTATACATACCTAAATCATTTATTACCTTTTCTGTCTTGGACAGAAAACAAGGCGAACCTGCTAGGCATTTCTATTACATGTTCCTATGTTCAGCGATAGTGATGATTTTTCTTGCAGTTCCAGTCACCGCAGCAGCATTTTAATATTCCTTCAGCATTTTGCGCATGATGGTCGAAAAACAGACTTTCATATATGAAGTATTCGGTTCAAAGATTACAACAAAGTTTTTGTATCTATTTGTTAATTGATCCATGAATTCAGGTTTTTGCCCACCATAGGGCACGGCTCCATATTTCAGACATTAATAATTTAATTTATTATGACGTTTCTAATTTCTGTTTCTAAAGAAACACGCTGTTTGTCATATTTACCCTAACGGGGTTAATTTAATTTAAGAATACATAATTACCTCATAGTCTAATTCAACTGTGTATACTCACAGTTTTGCAAATAATATAATGTAATTATGGTCAATTGTGCTAGCTAATGAAACTTTGTGAACGTGCCTTTTTCTTATTTGTTTGTAATTTGCTATAAAATACTTTCACTTAGGTCACGCTCATTGTGTATTTTTTCACACTTTCTTGAAACGAATCAGATTCTCATGGAATTCCCGTAATTTGTACCAAACAAATCGTGATTTATACTATTTGTACGTAATTTCATGATTTCTGTTTAATTTTGGAAAGTGTTTTAGGGAAGCATACATGGAAAAGCAGGGTCTTTTAATATCATTTTGCACGGATCTTTGCACGGACGATTTAATTACATTTATTGATGAATGATGCCATTATATTCTAATACTTTCCAGACTTATAGTTGTGTTAAATATACACGTATGTACGTTCATTTTTACATATGTGAATATTATGTACTTGGTCGTTTTGTAGTTTTTGATTTATGAGTTCAGCACCTTGTAGCGAATCTTGAGGGATTGGAAACGGGACTGACCGGCTAGCCAGGGAAGAGCGAATGCAAACCCGAATAAAATAAATAAAAATGAACTACCATACGAGGTTGCAAATCTCTGGCACTAGGGGGTTCTGGCTTCTTGTCTGAATAATCAGCAATAGCTAACATATATAATTATTTAATTTCAATAACAAAATATTAAAGTAACCAAAATTCCGTATCTAAGTAATATCAAGACTATAACACTAAGGTACAAAACAATAGCCAGAACCGCTATTTCTGTAATACCTTGTTTCGAGAAGACCAATATGGTAACGGAATTAGCTTTGTAATCGAATCAATAAATGCAATAAATCTTTATCAAGTAAAAAATATGGACAATGAGTCCACAAGGGGAATACACGCTACAGTAAATACAAGCAACGATACAACGAAGGCATAAAAGTACATAAAGAATGTAAGCTTAAATTAATGTTGAATAACGCATATAACGTCATTATAACATAAATATATTACACAAATAATGCCACTACACTTAAATTTCTTAAACGGTAGATTAACCCGTCATTCTCACTACAGAGGCAAAAGTGATCATTTCCGCATACATCGTACCAACTATGCAAAACACAAAAAGAGCGCATTCAGTCAGTCGTCACAGAAAGCAGAGTACATTCAACGGAACGTTACAACCTTAATATGTGAGGCCATCAGCAAGAACATATTGAGAAGCTTCTCAAGAATTTAAAAGGAACGGCATTTCATGATATTATAATTTTTATCTACGACTATTAAATAACGCTCAAATAACGTCACTATATTTTAGGGAATTATGATATGCATTATTATCGGTTCCTCTAAAATCCTTATATACAACTACTTTATGTCACTATATATTTCTCATAATTGCATATGTATAAGTTCATAATTGCATATGTACTAAAAATAGAACCGCCCATCTCGTATGTACTACCTGTCAGTTTTGTTTTGAATTAAGCATTTCTTAGGTAAGTTAGAAATGAGAGATTTCGGGTTACGTACGCTTAACTTTGTAGGTTTATTTGAAAAACAATTAATACAGGAACTTGATCCACCCCTATGACGAGATATGTGCGATATTTATAAAACGGGATGAAATAAACTTGTAAAATACCTGAAGTCATTGGCAAGTTCAGGCAACGTTACTTAACGACAGATCCCTTTGCTGATACAAATATTCTGCACGAGCATGAATAAGGTTTTCGTTTGTATTTAAAGTATCTATACCTTCATATTCACAAGGCATTATTTGTAGCATAATGGATTATCGGAAGCCCCATTTGAAGATTATGCTAGGTATAACCTATAAGTTTCAGCCTTTTACGAAGAGAAATATGTTTCGTACAACATATGTCGTATTGTCGAAATTGTGCCACGATACAAAACAATAACATATTGTAAACTCGTTGACAATAAAGGATACAAATTGTCGTAGCACTTAACCATAGTTTTGCATGATTGATTTTAAGAATTGATAATTCGTAACAGGTCTTACATACTAGGCATTGACCAAATTACTTAAATAGATGGCTACAATATGTACGTTAACTAATAAAAAACACCTCTTGCCCTTAAATTTGCAATAAAACTATGCTTTCATTGCTTAAACTTCGTTTCTAAAAGAGGAAGAAACTTCTTGGATGCAGGTCAGAGAAGCGTAACGAAGTCTTTGAAAAATTAGATTATGTATGCCGGTATGCGAAACAAAATATTGTATTCCATTTGGCAGCTGTGTAACAATTTCTGCAGGCATAATTGATACATCGGGATCGGATTTAGAGAATAGTTGTACATAGTTACGTCACATAAATATCCACCTTACTTCCATAGGTTATGTCACAATCTAAAACAATGAAAAATGAATGACAACCATTTATATTAGCAATAATCTTACGTGTTGAATTAATGACTTCTGGGAACTTAAGATAAATTGCATATTTAGTTCGCCACTTAGGTACATTGCGATACATTGAATTAGATTTGAGGTTAAATACCGTCAACGAATGAACGAACGCAAACCAAACCATAGGCGTACATTGCGCTACCGGTATGAAGTTGCTACGTTTCAAACTGATTCAGATGCCGCATTTTCTATTCAATTAAATAGTCGTAGATAAAATAGCGTATTTTACTTGCATATAAAGGCGATTATGACACTCGGAAAAATTACAACACTCGCCTTCGGCTCGTGTTGCAAACTTCACCTCGTGTCATAATCGCACACTTTATATGCTCGTATAATAATATACTATAGTTTATTACAGTACGATTATTGATTTCCCTTTATCATTGATTCGTAATGTAAGTGTTTCAAAATAAGAGCAGCTCTCCTAATCCCAAATGAAACACTCAGATTGTTAGAGAAGTTTTCTGAATGCACTTGTTATTAAATACACTATGAAACTGTGTTCTTTGTATTATAAAGGATAAAACTCTACTAGCTTAGAGGGCTTGTTAACAGTTTCGTTCAAGCAGCACGGAAAAAGTGTTTCAGTTAATTTTTTTGCGATAAATTTTAAAACGATGGCTGGAATCTGTGAATAGGGAATGAAGGGACCTTCCGAATGAAGTATCACAAGCTACCACTCCTATTTAAATATTTAAGGGTCGCAACTGTTATTTGAAAGGGTTGAGTTTAGCGATGAAATTTTTATCTGCGCGGCGGAATTTTCATTTCGGCATCTAACATTGACGGCTTGTCAGTTTTTTAAATGAGTACATATGCACGATAATTGAGATACTGAATTTATTTCATTTTTCTGTCGCAGAATTGCACCCACCATATGAGTTTCTAGACTTATATTAAAGTTTATCTATAGTGAAAACCCGTCCAAAAAGACAACCCCCGGAACTTTGTAAAAAGCTGTAACACAATGCGAGAGGATTACATTTGTTGTATTGTGAAAATCCACTTGGAGCATTGACGTTTAAGTAACAAGTCCGTTCTGCAGTAAACGGTAGCAAATATATTTCGCACAATACGCGTCCAGTGCTCCTTTTTATATTGCTTTATTCGTTCTAAGCAAAGTTTATTTGATTAATTCCGTAAAGAAGTTGTAATTAGTTCGTACAAGAGTTTAAACCTGTAATTAAAGGATTTCAGTAATTTTTTTGCCAATTTTTACTCGACTAATTAGTGATATTCAGTAAGAGTAGTATAATTGGTCTCGCAGCCTTTGTCAGATCTGGAAGTACAAAGCTCTTTTGTTTGTATTCTCTTCAAAATAGTCCTTTGGGTTTCTAATGAACACTCAGGTCGCACAAATCTAATTTATTATTTCTATAAGCTATGCTTTGGAGGTCGTCTAATTGCAAATTAAGTTGCGTTCGTTATAAATGGCATTTAAGATTGGTTTACCTGAAGGTCGTTGTTAGATCACTACATTTTGTTCTCTCTGGAGGGTCAACTATCCCTTACACGACAGGAAGTTGCACAAATGTACCCTAAAGCTAACGGGTAGAGCTGCATGAGAATAGGTATGTCCCAGGACATTTGAAACGGACACTTGACTCGGGCAACGGTGATTTGTTCTATGCCAATTAGTACGGATCCTCCTAGCTGAGAGTTTCGGGCGTATATGTGGCATTTATGTTACTCTTGTGTGTACGTAAAGATACAACTTGTTTCTCTCTAAACTGAGAGCGAGCTAATGCGTATTATCACTGTATGTTACCTATGTGGCCATCATTTTCCATGACGTATAGCTTAACAGCAATGTGCCCTAAGGAAACACGAATTTTAAACGCAATCGGTTTAAAACATTGCAGTTTATCAAACGAAATGTAATTGAGCCGCTCCTTTATTTATCATTTGGGTGTTTATTTTTGGTTCGCTTTTTCAGTAGGTTTGTTTGTGATGTCTCTAATTTTATAATTCATTATTATTGTGAATAGCCCACCCTGTACCATTGCAGGCGCTCAAGTAAATTTAAAATTACTTCATACGTGTATTTTTTAAAAGCAGTATTAAACGTGTAGGGTTAGCTAATTAATATCCTTTGGGGCGATTTGTTTTGATCATGTGCGTTTTAACTGACGTGAATTTATTGGGGAAAACCTACCACTTCCCTATCCTGTAATGTGTAAACAAATGAGAACATAAAAATCTACAAGCGAAAGTTGCAGAACATCGCAAAAAGCAGACTTTCTATCATCCTAGCAATCATTAAACCTGATGATGATTAGTAAATACCTCAGTATCAATATGGAATAAGTATACCTCAACACTAGAAGTAAATATTAAAAATACGTACCTCCAAGTAGGGATGGGCGATAACTGTTTTCACCTATCGATAAGTATCGGGTACTTACCTATCGATATATTTTACTTATCGATATGCCGATAATTATCGAAATATCGATGGTTATCGATATGTCGATAGTTATCGATATTTAGATATTTATCGATATATGAATACTATCGATAGGTATCGATATATCGATATGTCGATAGTTATCGATATCGATAATTTTTTTGAAAGCGTGTCTAAAAACTGCATGAGTTTACTTTTATATTTTGGCGAAAGAGCCCGACAAGACAAGAGGGCTCTTTTAACAAAATATAAAAATAACCGAATGCAGTTCTTGCAACTTTATTGGAGTTACCATATTAACTGTGCAATTATCGCAGGGCTCTTTAGCTTTCTACAATGCAATTACCGCTGTAATTAAGCGGTAATTGCACGTCTCATTTGAGAGAAATATTCGACGTATCGATAGTTATCGACAAGGATAGTTATCTTATCGAGTTTTATTAATAAAATCCATTTTCCGGTTTATTCTCGTGTAAAGTGACTATTAATAGTTACTCGACGTTTCTTTGCTACCTTTATCAAGAGTTTTTTGTTAGATTTCGTAAATGTCAATCAATTGAAACTGTACCTATATCTAAATTTGAAGTGTTCTTAGCTTTTTCTGTTTTTTGTGACTGGTCCTCTGTAACCATCAATCAGATACCGATATATAGGCCATGATTACACCCTTTGATTATCTTCTTTATTTTATCTAAAGAGTAGCCATTTTGATGCAACATTTTGTTCAAGTGTTTGAAGTGTTTCTTTTTTTGTGCAATCGTCAGTAAGACGAAAAGATCTATTTTCTAATGATTTTATTACTGCTTTTATTGGGCATGGATGATGATGCGACGTAGCGCTTCTCTTGAGAAACGGAGCAAAGTTAAGTTTCCGAAACGTCGAGCAACTAAAAATAGTAAATTTACACGAGAGTAAACCCGAAAATGGATTTTATTAATAAAAATAGTAGCGCTCGTTGAAATCTCAACAATAACATAATTTTATCGTACAGTTATCGACATATCGATATATCAATAGCTATCGATATATCGATAGTTATCGACATATCGATATATCGATAGTTATCGACATATCGATATATCAATCGTTATCGACATATCGATATATCAATAGTTATCGACATATCGATATATCAATAGTTATCGACATATCGATAGGTATCGATATATCGATACTTATCGATAAGTATCGATATATCGGTATATCGATTTTTTTAGCTCTACCTCTTGTTATTCGATATATCGATACCTATCGATATATCGAAAAAAATTCCCATGCCTACCTCCAAGCCATAGGCAAAATTAATTATTAAAGAATTAAACCTTTACTGCATCTTTAACATCTAATGCATGTTCTATGTAGAACTGGAAATATAGAACTAAACTACACAATTTAGAAACCCAGTAAATCTACTTGAAATATTTTTAGTACTTAATAAAAATCAACGAAATTCGCGCTGGAGACAATTCATCTCCTGTAATAGCTCGAACTTTGAAAATAATTGTATAATTAGTCCCATTTAATTCCACCTTTAGCCTACCGGCATAATTATAAATAAACTTTATTTAACGTAGCAGAATTCTTAGGGCGAACTTTGTATATAATTTGCATTTTGGCATTTTTCATAATATAGCTACCGCAACCGGAAGCTTCAATACATCACCCACTTGGATTCTAAATTTTCAGCATCTTATCTAATGATGTTAAATTTATTATTCTTTATATCGTTTGTAATCCTTTTAGTTCGCTAGTTCGTAATAAATGAAAATCGTCTTCTCTGTAGTCACTTTACAATTGCGATTGCAAGTGTAGGACCTCCATCGGTATTTCTTAGCTGTCCTAAATGCAACGGATCGGGTTTTGTTGATAACACTGTATTTATTAGCCGTCAGGATTAAATATCAATGGCTATTTTTGTCAACAAGTTTATTGTAAGGATGAAGGAAACCTTTCGGTAAAGGTGTAGGTAATTTTTGTTGTCGTGTAAACAGGTACGTAGGTAATGAGTGGCGAGAAATAAAAATATGTGTACCTATGTTTCGCAATGATTTCAGGCATATAGAATTCAAGTTTCCGTTTAGCTCACCCTATTGGTCACCCGAATTACGGAGTGTGAGCCTCAGTTCAGTACTAATCGAATCGTCTGGGGGTGCGTTGCATATTTATTTTTAAATCGCTGCTTTGTCACCTTACATATTGTACCATTGGGATCTAGTTAGTGACAGTTATTCCCTCTTATCGCTATGGATGCTATCAAAAGGCCCTTTTGAACATGTTAAGTGAATCATTTTTCATCATACCATAAGTATACAATTTTTATGTATAATGCGGGATCCTACCGCAAAGAAAAATAACCACATCGTAACATTAAACCTGGCA